CACTTTTTCGTTGATTGGGACTTATAAATATGCTTTTAGAGAACTAGCCAATAAGAAGAGAGAAGATAAAAGTGAAGCCGAAGTAGGTCTCATAGTGGAGAAATCGAAAATCTTCGTTTAAATTGTATATTCACCAAGTCGTTGGATGTATCGGCTCCTAGTCTTCCGAATTAAAATTTTCCAAATTTGACCTCTTGAGTTTTGGGTTAATTTTTATTGGTGCAAAATGCCTAAATCTTGAATCCTTTTACGTATTCAAATTTCTGCTTCGACAACTTGAAACGATTAGGATAATGATGCCGAATACATACACTTTTTAGAAACACGATTTAAGGTGAAGATTGAGTTGCTCTGATTTGGCTGTTTTAAGTGGCTGGCAATGTCATCTCAACAAAAATGTAACCTTTCCAAAAGTTGATACCGAACTAGACTATTTTAAAAATAGACGCTCACGTGCTCAGGCACATTTTTCTGACCATGATCCTCTCACTGCGCCAGGTGCTGCCGGTGGATGCAAGCGAGTCTGGACTACAGAGTTTCGTGCTTCAGAAGCCATTCAGGATAGAAGTCGGAGATCGAATTGCCCTACTGATGGATAATGAAGATGCACTTGCTTGTACAGCATCGTCTTCAACTTCACCTGCTGATCTTGTCTACAATATTCAACCAGGCATTGATCTAGCTGAAGGCACGAAAATTAGTGGGTTCACACGATTGAGGCAAAAACGATTTAAGGTAAGACCATACCTAACTTTAGTGTTTACAAACTGATGGTGAGACCAGCTACTTCTGATCTGTGGCTGATTTCTCTAAAGGATCTAGTTGTACCGATTATCAATGTCTTATCCATAAAACCTGCTACGAAACGATCTCTTTTAATGCTCTTCAACTTAGTCATTCACCTCTTTCCTGAAATAATATTTGTGAAATTCTTAGAAGAAAACATATTAACTGTTTTTTTCAATCAAAATATACTATTTATTTAATTACTATCCCCCCTACTTCTCCACCTATAACTTCAAACTTCTTAGACAATGATGTCGAAATGTATTTTCTG